AGGTCAGGGCGGAGCCATTCTCGATCGTCCTCTTCCTCTTGCGTCTCTCCTCATCCCTCCTGCTCGAGATTTCCCCGGAGACGAGGGAGGGATGGAGCCAGTGACGCCACCTCCTTGAATCCCTTCCCCCAATTATGCTTTCTTGTCGACTCCCTTTCTCCTTCATCGTGCGCCCCTTTTTCATCCTCTATTGAAACCCGATGCGAAACCCTAAATCGAAACTTCTCTTATCTCCGACGGTGGGTTGACGACAGAGACAGTTGAATCCCTTCCTCAAAGTTGCTATTCTCTTCTCTCCGGTTGTAAAGGCGAAATACTGAAAAGGTTACGAAAAGTGGCTGGCAAAAGTGGCGAATATGGGTGTTTGCTTTTGGGTTTCCTTTTACCTTTGTTTATACTAAAGGTAGCTTCATTCTTGTTCGTTTTTCCAGCTCACCCTTACATGACAGAATCATGGCGGGACATGTGCATGCACCAAATGCTCCCCAACAAAAATATGGTGAGTGCCCCATTGTTTTCACACTTATCATAATGGTAGAGAGTTATTTTTGCTTGTCCCTTTCATAAATGGTCTTTATTAGAGAAAAAGGACAACACTTGATTATCATTTTTTAATTGAAAATTAGGATTCCTCTGGGAAAGGCCAAAACCAACAGCTTTCAATGTTGACTTGTCTTTTCTTGTTGTTAATAGAAGTTGGTGGCTTGAAAAGGACGACTTGCCCCTACCCCATTACTGCTTTTGGACTTTTAATATACCATTCTCATTTTCCTTTTGAATAGATGCTTCAAGTGGAGAGTTTACATTTGAAGTTCACATATCATACGAGCTGAAAAGGAAGTGTGGCAAACATTTCCTGAAGGAGAAGTGTACATTCTACTCGGACTATGTTGATATCCACGAGCTTTCGTTACTTGATTTGCCTGACATATGTAAGGCATGTGGTGGGACGATTGATACGCTGAAGTTATTTTGGAGCTCTCCTTCCAACGATGCAATATCCGAGATTACTTCAGATGAAGACATACTTAGCATGGTAACAAGTTCAAATGAAGAAGCGAGGATCATCGAACTATATGCCATCTCTGAGAGTGACATTGTCGAGTTCATGGATAGTGATGGGGGAAAAGGTGGAGCTGCCACCAAGGGTAAAAAGAAAGGGAAAATTGTTGTTGATGATTTTGGATATGATACAGACTATGAGGATGAAGATGATATTGACTATGTGGGTTGTGAAGAATACGACTTTAGTGATCGTGACAATCTACAGTTTGAGAAGAATGTAGCTGAAGAGGTAAAAGCTAATTTGGGCAGCCATGAAGGTGGAACTTCAAAGGGTGAGCAAATTGTTATAGATGAGGAAGAGTCAGATGATGTCGACTCGGATGATCGAAGGACCATTTACAGCTCAGAAGAAGATTTTGAGAGCAACCAGACGCTAGGATTTCAAGGTGAGAGAGATATGGAGAGCCCTACCTTTGCGGTTTCTCAAAGATTCAGCAGCTTTGACGTTTTGAAAGACTCTATAAAGCTCATGCCTTCATGGAAAAGCGGCCTATTCGTTTCAAAAAGAACGACAACAAAAGGCTGCAAGCAATTTGTGCCAATTCATGTGACAATGACTTTCAAGGTGAAGTTTGCAACTGCAAAGTTTCTAGGTGGGAAACTTGCTAGGAAGATGGCAGTAGACAAGAGTATGATTAAGGCCTTGCTCAAACAAATCTGCAAGGAAGACTTCAAGGAAGATGTGTTAGATTCAAAGGCATGGAGGATAAGAAGGGCATCCATTGAGCAAGTTCGTGGAAATTTCATGGAGCAATTCCGAGGGTTGTACCACTATGTAGAGGAATTAAGGAGGAGCAATCCCAACTCTATAGTGATCATAGAGTAGAGAAACCAGCATTTCAATTGGATATATGTGTGTTTTCAGGCTTCAAAGCTGGGGTTCAATGCAGGTTGCAGGCAAGTATTGTGCATCGATGGTTGCTTCTTGAAGCATGAGTATGGAGGACAACTACTTTAAGCTGTGGGTGCGATGCAAATGACTAGTACTATCCAGTTGTCTTTACCCATGTAGTTTTGGAGAATAGGGATAATTGGGGATAGTTTCTGGAGATCATCTCTAGTGACTTCGAGATCATGAAAAATCCTGGATGGACCTTTATGTCCGAAAAACAAAAGGTATACTCGATACAAATTGTTGTTTTTTCTTGGGTGTTTGCTGTCTTTTCCGTCCAATACTGGATATGAAAAGATTGTGATATCTCTACGTGTTTTTTCTTGTTTTTTATTATCTTTGTACTCATGCCAGCCCTTGATGCGATCGTTTTGAGTTGTGGGAAGAGGCATTGTGCAAGGCACCTGTGGACAAACTTGAAGGGTGCTTGTGGGGGGTCCCAAATGGTGAAAAACTTGTTCTGGGCAGCACCACGTGATGACACCGTTCCTGAGTTTCGGACTGCAATGAAAGACTTAGCATATTACAGTAAGCCAGCTTATGATTGGTTGGTCGAGAAGCCATTCCACCACTGGATAAGGTCACATTTTGTGAATCTTTGCAATAATGATATTATTATGAGCAATATGGTGGAGAGTTGGAACAATGTGATAATAGAGGAAATGGACTTGGGTCCTATATGAATGTGGAAGGGGATTAGGAGAAACTTGATGGTGTTATATGCCAATAGACAGTAGGTGGTATCGAGGTGGGCAAGTCATTTGGATTGAAATATTGAGAATAATCTAATGAAGTTGACTGAAGAAGCTGTGAAGTGGTCGGTTGAAACTAATTGTAATAGTGAGTTTGAAGTGAGGTGGCACAACAAGTAAGTCGTGGTCAACTTGAATAATAGGACTTGCACCTGCAGATATTGGGAGTTGACCAACATTCTGTGTGAGCATACCATTTAGACTATTGGTAGGGCAAAGCTTCGGGTGTATGATTTTGTAGCTAATTGCTACTTGAAGGAGACAACAAGTGCAATTTAATAGTTCTCCATTTCACCTACTAATGGTTGGGAGTACTGGCCAGTTTATCGGTTAGGTGATTGTGGAGTCCCTCCTTTGGAAGACTCGAAAAAGAAGGAAAGAGCCAAGAAGCAGTGAAGACAAGGACTTGATGAGGATAGAAATGGAAAGAAGAAACAAAAGAAGGGTGCAAGGGAATCATCAAAGACAGAAGGAAAGAAGTACACGTGTACTACATGTGGGGTGCTTGGGCACAACAAAACTTTCCATGATGAAGCAAGAAAGGAACGGGTACAGGCAAAGAAGAAGGCTAAGGAAGAAGCTAAGAGGAAGCAACAATTAGAAAGAGCAGAGAGAAACCAGTTGGTATCCCTACAAAGGCGACAACAAAATGTTGCAAAAGTTTATGCTACTTCACCATTAGGTCAGCCCAATATAGTCCAATTCATGTCAGATATACTGATCCATTCACTTTTATAATTTTGTTATCTTCTGACTTCCAACAACCTTCTAATGTTGACTTAACTTTGCAGGGAACTACTATAAGGCAAGGAATTTAGGCATCACAACAAACAAGCAAAGGATATGGAGACTCACAGAATACAAGACAAGTGACTCAAGAGAAGATGTGAAGATTAGTTTCATTTTAGGTCCAACTGCTAATTACTATTTTGGAGCCTCGAATGGCTAGTTTAAGTAGATGTGATGTCTTGACAAACTAGTAGAAGTTGACTTTTGTTTTGTCATATTAGGTTAAGATGCATGGCTCTTTGGGAATTATCATTTGGAGCTTATAAGGCTCTAAGTTTCATCCATGGCTATCAGATTTATCAATCTTTCTTTCTTCAACTTTATTTACCAATCATTCCAAACGAATTGCACTTCAAGTGACCAGAGTAGAAACTGAATTGCACTTTGAGTGATCGTATATGAAATAACATGGCAATTTAAGTGCCCATATGTGAAACAACATGGCAGGTTGAGTGATTAGATGTGAAACAACATTGTGATATAAGTGATCAGAGATGAAATGGATTTAACTAGGGTTACACACTGTCAACAATACACAGAACCTTCGATTACAACAGCTACAACTAAATAGAGGGCTCCTCACTTTCCAATCGAAAACAAAGACAATACAATAACTCCTGCAATGAAGACGAACATCATTTTCCCATCAAACTTGGACCCTTACTTGTTTTGCCTCTTCTCTAGCTCCCAAATTCAACGATGAAAGTTTAGCACCACATTTCTCATATGTTTATCAAGGGTTGGGTCAAGCCATATGAAGTAGTTACATGCTCCATTTGTCTACACATAATCTCATAAAAAAAGATAGAAGGATGAAGGAATTGCTTGGTCGAATGGTGAAAGTAAAAAGGTGGTGCAATCCTACCCCATATTTGCTGCATCCATAGAACTTTCTCCCTGGATCCGCATCAGTCCAACTCGTCTTGAGATTCGTTGGCTCTCTACAGTGACAGGAGGGTGCCGCAATTGGAAGAGTGGAAATGGGAGAAGTAGATGCAGAATGAGGAATGGAACAAAGGGATGGGGAGGGGACGGTTCACGAGTTCAGAGGGGTAGACATATAAAGCAGATGGAGTGGGGTTAATTTTGGTGTTGGGTCTTGGGTTGGTTCGCGGGTTGGGTTTGGGAGGCTGACATGGCGTGCCAAAATGACCTGGCGAGCCGGGTCTTCCCTTTTTAGGATTAAATGAGGCTGACTGGGACTTTCCATTTGTCACGTCATCACTTAACAAACGTCGTTAACAGAGTCTAACGGACGTTAACGGATCAAACTAGGACTGTCCGTTAACGGCGTTAGCGGAGAGTGACCAAACTAGTACCATGTAACTAATTTGAGTGACTACTGATAGAATAAAATAATCTTAGTGGCATACTTCTAATCTTTTAGTGATCCAAGTGACCAAACTTGTTATGTATCCTAAATTATCCTAAATTATAGTGTTAAAGAGAAAAATAAGCTAGAACTGATACAATTTCTAAAACCCTTGCAAAACCTCCCTCAGGCCTCATCTCATCTGTTCGGTTCCGCTTTGCCAATGTCCAAATAAACAATTTCCCCTTCCAATCTCTCTCTCTCTCCATAATGGCGGCTTCCAGACTCTCCGTCTTCGGCACCGCGCTCTTTCAGAAAGCAACTGTTCCTCGCCTCAAATTCGCCTTCCCAGTCGCTCCCTCCCCCTCCGCCAAACCCCTCCAGTTCCAGCACTCATGCTCCACGACTGCTGCCGCCGACGTCCAGTCCACCGCCGAAAGCTTGAACCCTCACCCCTGGCCGGAGTGGGTTTCCTTCGTCGACCGATTGAAAACCAAAGGTTATATCTTGGAAGCCAAGCAGCCCGTCATAGACCAAACGACCGAAGTCACCACCACCGGCAAGGACGACGAGCTTGCTTATCGTGATATGAATCAGGTGAAGGACGCTTGCCTTAGCTTCGGCCGTGATCGATACGACATATTCAAGTAGGCTGCTTACCTTCCTGCTTGCTTCTTTCCATGCCGGAGCATTGGATTCGGCTTGAATTAGGGTTAACGAGTTGCTTTAATCGTGTAGTTCGTTGTCTGAGCCGGACATTCAAACCTTGGTGGACAGTGGATGCCCAAACCTTTTGCGGAAGGCTGTGAATTCTGCAAAAAGGTTGAGAGCGTATCTGCGATTGGATGAAGGGGATGTATGTTCTTTTTTATTTTTACTGTTGTTTTATTTTGTGATTATTTTTCTTTGGAAATTAAGGGAAGGTACTTATGGTGTGATGAACGGATGCTTGCAGGTTTGTGGTGCTTGCAATCTTCGTGGTTCATGTGACAGAGCTTATATTATCTTGAAGGACAAAGAAGCAGAAGCAAGGACGGTGGACTTGGTGAGGATAATTTTGTTCTATGCACTAGACCCGCTTGTGATCTCAGATGGGCAAAGGCCTGCTGGTAGAGAGAACGTGGAAGGAGCTGCTAGGAAACTGCTCTCTGAGATGGTTGAACTGAGTGAGAGAACCGCTGCTCCAGAACCATTGAAGCCAGCTGCTACGAAAAGTGGCAACAGAAAGATACAATTTGTTCACGAGGCTGATGACAAAACTGCTACGAAAAGTGGCAACAGAAAGATACAATTTGTTCACGACGCTGATGACAAAACTTCCAATGGCATGGCTACTAAGGGGTCCAACAGAAAGGCAAAATTCATTCGGGAGGCTGGCGACAAAGCATCGAATAGCTTTGGTGGTGGTCAACGGTCTGAAGATGTGGAGATGAAGAGAGGAGATTGGATGTGTCCCAAGTAAGTTCATAATCTCCATTTTGCTGAATGCTTAAATTGAGCGCAGAAATCAATCACACGGAACCAAATATTACTGTGTAGGGGTTTTTTTACTTCTCAGGTGGTTTGGCTACTTGGTTTTGCGCAGGAGAAAGAATTGACTAGATATTCTACAAAAATACAAACATATTGAATCATACTATAGTAAGATAAAGTTGTGTTGATTCAGTAGTCTGAGTACTGAACTGTAAGAAGCATTCGAAGTCCATCCCTAGCCGCTTCTTAGCGTGCACACTTATAGTTGCTTTTGACTGTTCTAGTTCTCCCCTTTCGTGTAATGGTATTATAGATGTTTTCTTTGTCATTGGAGTCTTTCTCTGTGTTTTTAGGCCAGTTTCTTCCAGTCAAAGTGTCCATGCTTTTACAAGTTATTCCTTACTTCAAAGAGCTTTGTTGGTCGTTTCCAATACTTGTACACCACTGCATCCGGACCACTATGCCTTTGCTCCTTGTTATCTTGGTTATCCAACTCGTCTATGGTTTGTTAGTTCGCCACTTCACTGCTTTTCATCTATGATAATTGGAGAAGCGACAATAAATGAGGCAAAACTTGTAAGTGTTTGTAGTGATATAGTCTTGTTATGCTGTAAAAGAGTTGCATTCCTCACACGAAAGTGCCGTAATTTTGTGTCACTCTCTTGTCAGATTTTTGCCTGATGCCAGTTTATTTTCAAGTGTTTTCTGAATAGAGCTTTTAAAGAGCACATAATTACATTTGGTTCGTTGTTCACTTGAAAAGTGGATGGCAATGGTACTCTGAAAGTAAATGTTGCCTGGAGTAGTGGAGTTTACAGTTCTGGTCTTTGTGTCTGATACAATTGATAAAGTTCTCTACCTTTCTCTGTTTGTATGTCATGAAAGTTAGATTATTCTTAAATGCATCTTGCTTTCAGGGGTTTCTACCAAATTCCTCATTCTTTCTGTTTCAATTTCTGAATTTCAAATCCTTCTCACCTTGTGGCAGGTGCAATTTCTTGAACTTCGCAAGAAATAAGCGGTGCTTGAAATGCAAGGAAGAAGGTCCAAAGAGTACCGTTTCAAGCGACATGGAAATGAAGAAAGGAGATTGGCTGTGTTCCGAGTACGGTTTTAATCACAAACCATCTGTTATCTGCCTATCAGTTTCTACGTCAAACCATGGTAACACTGACGGAGAACCTTTTCCTTGTATGATGCAGATGTAATTTCATGAACTTTGCCAGAAACATAAGCTGCCGGCAGTGCAACGTGGAGAGGCCAAAACGGGTGGGAGTAAATGATGTGGTAATGAAGAAAGGGGATTGGACTTGTCCACAGTAAGTGACTAGTCTTCCTCTCTGCTGTGACTTCCTTCGACTGCTTTTAAGTGTCTGTCTAGATATATTTCCATGAGAAATGCAAATGAAAGTGGATTCTTGAGTTTGGTGGAAGCCACCATTTCGATTCCCATGAGCCCAATTGCTACCTCATTTGGTGGAGTTACCGTTGCGGGTCAAATGGAATTGCATTTCCCAACTTTTAATTCCACTCCAAACATAGAAGATGAAACTGGAATTCAATATTCTTCTCTGTAGGTGTGAATTCATGAACTTTGCTAGCAACAAGGCCTGTTTGTCCTGCAAGGGGACGCGCCCCAAGATAGTGATCGGAGAGTGGGAATGCTCGTGAGTTTCTCTTGCTCACGTATTCTGAGTTATCAGTTTGCTTTCGTGTTACTTGATACGTTGTGATCTGATATATAATCCTTGTTGGTCTCCCTCTTTCTCTGGCATCTGTAGGTGTGGGTTCCTCAATTACAGCAGAAATGCAGCGTGTCTAAAGTGCAAGACTGATCGTCCCACTCCCAAAGGACTTCTAACTGCAAAAATGGGTAGTGCAGATTTCGTCGAACAATCTGCAGCAGATTACGAAGAATGGAGAAGACCCCAGTAGTTCAATATAATGGTTAGGCGATACAAATTATTTCAAAGAGACAAATGGCAGCGTAGGATTGGTATCACTACTAAGAATGTTTTTATTTCGAGAATTGAAAGTTTTGTTATCCACTACTGGTTTTTAGCAAGGTTTTTACCGGAAAAGTAAGCGGTACGAGATAATAAAGTCGTGATTTATCATAGTTCAATCGTTAATACAGCTAAGTATTCTCTAACGTTTAGCCTCTGATACTGATATGTTGTGCTTGAATTGCTGGTATGATATGATTTACAAGTTATGTCTTTTACTCGGAGATGAAATAAATGAGAATCCATGTATTGTAATCATTTAAAAATCGCCTTAATCAAAGAGCATCACTATGGATTATGAGAATGATTAGTGGTATAATTGTGGTTCAATGAATAATTATATTCTTCTCAAAGTTACATTAAATTATAATTACTATTTACCTGATTATGACAATCGTCAAATTTTTCAATTTTATCACGAATTGCTCTTAAAACTTGCTGATGTGGTGATAAATCACTTATAACAAATCGACATGGTTTTTTAATTAAGGGATCTGTTAAAAATTGAACAAAGCAAATTAGGGTTACCGATCTGGCTGAGTCGCGGACTAGGTCGCTCTCTTTAAGACGTTCGCGGCACTGCCTCGTATTGCGCACAACAGACTATCAGTCGGTCGCCTCCAGGATAAAATAGCCACTCTGATTTTGTTGCTCATCGGTTTTGTGCGAAAACCGAAGCTCTATGAACTCACTCTCTCTCATGTTTCTGCTCTTCTGAGGCGTTCTTAGAGGGTTTGGGGAGTGCTCTATTTATAGGAGCAAAAACCCTAGAATATTCTCTCTTTCGTGGGGAATAAGTCACACTTAATTAGGAAGATAATTACTCTGATAATTAAAATGCGTTCTATTAAAATAATTAACTCTAATTATCTTCATAATATTCCTTATATTAATTATCCAAAGGATAATTAATTAAGAATTTCATTTATAGCTTTCAAAGCTATTCATCCCAACCATCCCCCACTTGAATAGTTTTGAAACTATCTCTGAGCATCAACAGATCCATAAGATCGAGCATAAACTAAGGTATCGCGAAGATTTGAACCTTAGCGTAGTGGTTACACTTCCGATTTCATAAGGGTGACTCGTAGTCTTGAACCTTATCTCAGACAATGTAGCACACCAGATCTTTTCATTGAGTGATATTCTCTTATAGGTCGTGCGTTTATGGCCATGCACGTTATCCCGGTTTAGTGAACGCTCTAGCAACTTTGTGCCTCCAAAGTTCCATAGGGAGCGGCCCCACTCCCACATTCACAGAGGTGAGTCTATCAGAAGTACCCCCAAAGTAAAGTACTTCACTCCACATAGAGTATATATCTCATCAAGAGTTTAACTCAACCTCCAAGGCTTTGGGATTCATGCTTCACTATGCATGAACTTTTCTCAATATTACTCATGACTTGTTATTACCCATTGAACCTGTTTCTTGAGATCTCCAGTCTATCGGGTTGGGTTCCCATCACTTGTAATTCATGTTTCGGTAGGCATAAGTCTCATACCTTTCATGGTATTTTGGAATTTTCTCTCTAGGTAATCCTTTCGTCAAAGGATCAGCTAGATTCTGTTAAGATCTTACATGATCCGCCCTCATTGCTCCTATCGTTAGGAGTTCACTTATAGTACTATGCTTACGACGAATTTGTCGTCTCTTTTCGTTCTAGAACCGGTTTCCTTCTTTAGCAATAGTTGCGGTGCTATCACAATAAATTAACTACCGGAGGGATCGGTCTTTCCCATAAGGGAATCTCTAGTAACAACCCTCTCAATCAACTTTCCCCTTTACTAGCCGTTGCTAGTTTCATCATTTCTGATTCCTTAGGTGATTGAGCCAGTATCGTTTACTTCTTAGACTTCTAAGACACAACTCTTCCAACGATGTTTAAAACATGCCCACTGGATGCCTTGGAGTCCTCTATAGGGTATTCTCATCCGCATCATTATACCCTACCAATACAGCAAGAAACCGTTGATGACTTATATCAAGGTCTACTGTTCTCTTAAGGTGTCTCATTACCCCTTTCAATAGCATTTCAATGCTTCATAGTAGGACAATCTGTAGACCTGCCAAGTACCCCCACTATGTCATGTTTATCAGCTGCCTCTCGCTGTCAATGCTAGTAAGTTCGTACTTTCTTACACCGACTTTGGTGTTATTTAAAAATCGTACTAGCATCTTCAAACATTTAGGCAAGTGTACAACTTGTATTTCTTATTGATCTTAACCAAACAGTTAGATTGATCTATAAAAAATCTCTTTCGTTGTCCTAGTCATTTGGATCTTTAAGCATAACACTTGGATCCTTCTTATAAAGGTTCTCACTCAACATGGTTTTTCACATTTATTCGTGTCATGAGCCTTTGCAACAAATATCAACATGTCTTTTATAGTGCAAGTGTCATTCTCAAGTTTGTAACAAATGCACTTGTCACTTTCATTCAAAAACCATGAGAGAAAACCCGATTATTCATGCTACAGTTTTGAGTCTATTTCAAATCCTATCATGATTTGTCTAACCATAGACTCTAGAAGCATGTTCAAGAATAACAACCTTTTAGGTTGTCCCAATGTAGATTTCTTTATCTAAACCACCATTCACAGTAACAGTTTTAACAATCCATCTGACGCACAACACTAGCAATCAGAACATACACGGATGTTATTCTAGATGGGGTGAATAGATATCAAAGAAATCCACAATTTTTTCCTTCTTCGCCAAAAGTTTTAGCTAGTAGGCGATCCTTATACTCATAAACTAAACCATCAGGTTTCAGTTTTCTTTTAAGAATCCATTTATTACCTATGGCTTCATTGCAGGAGGTAACTCTTATGATGCCCAATCATGTTCGATTCCATCGATATATTACCTAAGGCTTTATAGTCGAGAGGTAATTCTACAATATTCTAAGTCTTACGAGACTCCAAAGATTCCATTTTGTTAATATGTATTATCCCACAAATCTGCATCTTTATGGAAGTTCAAACTTCTAGCAGACTTCTAGGATCTTTTCTATCTTTGTCTCCAAATTTGGGGTTCATCCCCATTAATGGGGGAACCCCCATTAAATGTGAATCCACTTACTTGACCGGACTCAAAAACTAAGACCAACTCCAATGCAAGCCCCCAAATTTGGGGATCTTCGTCTCCAAATTTGGGGTTCATCCCCATTTTCCCTTCATTTGTTCCAATGCTACATCCTCTATATTTGGAGATCTCCATTTTTTAAGTTTTCCATTTACTTAAAAATGTACTTATCGAAGTCTTAATATAATTTGTTCATGTTAATTTTTGTATAGTTCGTCATCATTTTTCAATACAAATTTTCTGGTAGAAATTTTTTTAATTTTGAGACCAAATTTTTGTTGACCAAAAATGATTGACCTAATTTGGGTTTACACACAACACTTGAAAATTATTGATTTAATTAAACCCCTAACTAATCCCCTAATTAAACCCCAATTAACCCTTAAAATCTTAAAAAGAAAAAGAAACGCCACGTGGCAGGCTTTGGGGAGCCTCTATATTTGGGGGAACCCCCATTTCCACCCCCAAATTTGGGGATCCTTTTGGAGATCTCCCCCAAATATAGAGACTCCTCCATTTATAGAGGCTCCATTGGAACCAACTTTCCCCCAAATATAGAGGCTCCCCCAAATATGGAGGCTCCATTGGAGTTAGCCTAATCGGAGTTGGCAACTTTGATAAAAAAAAAGTAATGAATCCGGCCGTCGGGCCAGATACAAAGCTGGTGTTTAAAAAGGAAAAAAGGTGGAAACGAAAAATGTAACTGGGCGTAACTTGGGGTTTGCCCATCCCCCATTACAAATTTACAATGATGATATATTTATTGGGCTCGAGTAACAAGTAGAATTGGGCCGGTACGCTCCATATACTATCTTCCCTCCGCGCCGCCCCCTTTCAGAAAAATTAAAACCACTGATAGGAAGTTTTGGGCGGGATCCTCGAAATCCCTAAACCCTAATTGTTGAAAGAGCCAGCGAAAATGGAGAAGAGAGAAGACGACTATACAATACAAGTTACTCCCGGCTAGGGATACCATCACTTGCATAACCGAAAAGTTAGTCGATTTCACTTTCCCCGCCGCTCCTATGGCGCCGGTAGCCATTTCCGGTTCCCTGTCTTTCTTTCTTTCCTTCATTCATATCGTTTGTTTGAACAAATCCGTTTTCACCGGAAAACCTACATTTGGCGATGATGATACAAAAAGGCCGGACTTACGGCTGCTGCCATTCGCCTGTTCGTTTGGCCTTGGTAGTAGATTGATGATACATTTTTTTTCCAAAGGTGTACGCTGAGCCAAATTTTCAACTTACCCAGTACTAATTTTCTTCTTCCTTCTCCTCGCTCTTATTCGGCTGCTGAAAACTAATCTTTGTGTTTGTCAAATTGGAACCTTTTAAAATCCATTATTGAAGATGGTAGTGTCGTTATTTGTTGCATCCAGGCTGATGCTGTTCACTGAAAATAGTCAACTGGTCCCATCCGATTCCGAAGCTTGGGATTGTGGTCAATGTATGTATTCACTGCTACTGCAGATTATCTCCCCCGAGTTTCAGTTTCAGTTTCAAGCCCTTTGCGGTATAGTTCATCTATATTCTATAATCAATTACTAGTTTGTCTGTGCAGTTCTTTGTAACTTTTCATTTTCTATTCTGCGACAGGAGAAGAGAAACTGTTAGAATCAGGGTTACCCTAGAGGATACCGCACCAGGATTCATGTCTTCGTGTATGCTGAAGATGGGGTAAGATCATAAGCAAGATTACTGTTTGTCTCTGCAATTCCTTCTGAACTCTTCCTTTCCTTTTCGGTGACAGGAGAAAACTTGCTTGGAGCGACTGATAATGGGAAGAAGATTGAGGCCCCAAGAAATCCACCATGGATACAACTCTCTCTCAAATCTTATTACATGCATAAAAGTGATGCTTGGCGAAGTAGAGGCATTATAGGATCTTTGGCATCAAGCTTCTAGTCTAATGGACAGCCATTAGCAACTGCGATTAGGGATTCTATATCCTTATTAATTGCCAGAGTGTAAATATGCTTTGTATAATTCATCTACATTCCATCCATCTCATTGTTTTTCATCTTCGATCGGGGATCGTTGAGGTCCCTTAATCGAGGACATTGAAGTGACCCATAAGTGTGTACATTGAAGTGTTGTGCAAGGCTCACTTTGTTATCATAGAAGCAAATCAGCTACTTTTTGGCTCTACAAGACCAAATGTAGAGTTGTAAGTTGTAGCAAAGCGCATGCTTGCCATAACATGCCCCCAAAAAATTAGGAGTGTTCAAACGGTTTTGTTACCGTGGTAACCGTTTTAACCGGTACTATTTGGATAATTTGGTTTGGTTAATTTGGATAATTGGGTTGGTTAGGTTAAAGTTTTTAGTTTGTTTGGTTCAGGTGGTTTGGTTTGGTTTGGTTTCAAACACTCCTAACCAGTTAATTAATTAATCATATATCTAACATATATTATATACACATACTTAATACTTTGCATAATCACTCAAGGGTTAACGTTCATCCCTTTTAGACTCATATAAAATATAAAGCTCAATATTGCTCATATAGTGTAAATTTGTATATGTAAAGTGTAGATCACAATATATGGACGCCTAATTTAGATAAATTTCATTATAATGGATGAAAACTTGAAAAGAAAACTTGAAAGGAAGGTCATTTCCAGCCTATGATAATTGCTAAGAGACTAAGTCAATTTACACAAACACAACAATTCATTAACCTATACCATTGTCATAAATTTTTGTTAGGTGAATACTTCTATACTAATCGTAAAATAATTGTCTTAGTTGCATGTATTTTTGTTAAGGGTCAACTATATAACTACGTGTTGATTGTTATGTTTTATTCATTATATAAATTGCGAATTGTTGCATTAACCGAAAATTTTTCATCATCAATGATAATGTGATTTTATATTGGATAATTTGGTTAACCAATTAACCAAACCGATTAAACTTCAGTTTGGTTAATTTGGTTGTTGTATTAGTTTGGACGGTTTGGTTATGATATTGTATTCCATGGTAACCATTTGAACACCCCTACCAAAAACCCTGAGCAATGACCACCTGCTTTCAGTACCAACGGCTGAGATGCATTTGACATATGGATGAGTAGAAACTAACAAACCAAAACTCATGTCCCTATCTTGAAAGTTACAGTAACTGTACGAGGACCGATCAATCTATAACCTCGTATACATTTGAGTTGGTTTTGCTTTGGAAGTTGCAGCATTCATAATACAATGTGAAGCACCTGCATTGTTGCTAACTCTATTTGTAAATACACGCCTTGGTCTTGAGTTTGAAGCTAAAAGCAGAGAGCAGCCCTTGAGCTAATTTAATCAGCCCCAATTCACTTCACTTCACTTGACTCCCTCCTTTAGAACATTGTTGCTGAAACTGATCTCACTCTTCTGGTGCCAAAACTGCAGTTCCTAAATTAGCTCTGTACACAAGCGCATGCTTCTTCCTGGAATAACAGTGTCCACAAACAGACTAATTTGGCGGAGGCATAATATCCTGCTCATTGGGTTGGTGAGCTACCACGGCACCCACGTTCCTACGCTGCCTCTCTCGTAGGTAGAGCACAGTGAGAAGACACACAAACAGAGTCAATATTGTTGCATTTCCTTCTTCCATTATCACATTCTCTACCCACGCTTCCACTCTTGGGTACACTTCAGGCAGTGAATCAATCATGTCAACCTAACATTCAGCAACCACAACCATTTTTAGTACGGGTCTATCGTAGTAATTTTTGGACTGGAAATTTGGAAGAAACTAACCATGAAACTGTCGCCATAGTTCTTTCGAATCCACAAGCTAGTTAGGGCAAGTGTCACAGGCAACTTTGCAGTAGAATCAACTTCTAATGCTTGATCATAGTAACGCTTAGCAAGATGGAGGTCCAGTGGAAGGCCTTGACCATGCTCGTGCATATATCCTAGGTTGAACATGGCCTGTGCATTAGATTGAGATTTAGCATGCATGTAAGCCTCTGCTGCACGCTCATAGTCCCTTTCAGTACCCTAAACAACAACAAAACAGCAGTCAGGAATATTCATAGACACATGGTCTACAAGAAGCTAATCAGCCTCAAGCAGTCAGTAATAAGGGGTGGCCATGGTCTGGTTCAAACCAGATTGAATCCGCATAAGACAGTCAAATATGAAGGAAAATGGGAGCCAAAGTCGGATAAAAAGCGATTTGTTCCATTCCAGTTATGACTAGGTCCGCTTTTTTCCTGGTTCAAATTATATTTCGGCCCAGTTTAATTTGGTCCAAGTATTAATTCAGTCTGATGTGATCTGGAGTGAACTGACTACCCCTAGTTAGGATGGTACAGGCGAGACAGAGAGAGAGAAGATGCATACCCTGCCATAGTAATATGCATCGCCAATCAGTAGGGCAGCATGCTCGTTACCCTGCTCGGAAGCTTGCCACCACAGTGCATGAGCACGTTGATGCCTCTCTGCATCACCACAGAATCCAGATTCCCCTACACACATGCTCCTCTCTCCATATTTGTCAAGGATCCATGCAGCATTACTTTGAGCAATCTCATAGCCCATCTCCGCCATTCTGGAATACAACAGAAATGCCTTGCCGACATCACCCTTGAGATAAGATTCTAATGCCCATCTAGACAAAGAACTCCATGGTCCTCTTTCTGCAACCAGTTTATACAGTGCAGTAGCCTGGTACAAAGACAGATTTGTAAGGAGATACTGCTCTTGCAATTCTTGAAGCGTGCAACAAGACACTCTATGTTTTTTTAAGAATGAGCTCATTATATTATACATGCGGAATGAGGATACTGATAAACTGATTGGCCAGTTTTTCCTTGGTTATTATAAAAAAGAATGGAGTCACGAAGCTTATCTAATGAAAGGAGGGAAGGCAGCAAAGATAGTAGTATTGATTTGCAAATTACAAAGTGACTCCTAGACGACATTTTACCTAGATAGTGGATCTAATCAATGCCGGTTACAACCGAATAGTTCACTTCACAGTTATAAATTCCCCTAATTAGTTCTAAGGGAATAGCAACCGTGAACAAAGCCAGAAAAGAAAAAGAAGAAGGAAATACTGAAGTCATAAAAAACTTACCATTGGCAGATTCTTTTTAAGTCCAACACCTGTCTGGAACATCTTGGCCAGCTGATAAAATGCCTTGGGTTGACCAGCATTAGCTGCAACTATGAAATACTGACAAGCCAGCCTTATGTCTCTCTTTACACCAATTCCTTTAAGAAACATGACTCCAAGGTTATAATGGCCCCCAGGCTCCTCATTCTCGGCAGCTTTCTCAAAGTATTCCTTCGCCTGTCATAAAATCATTCTGGTTATTGACAAATCCCTCCAGAAGTATTTGCAACAGAAGCATAGAAACAAAGGCAGTCTAGAATGTCTACAAATGCAACAACAGATGAACATATGTTGCAAATTATGAACTTCAAAACATAGACACTTGAGTACACCCCTGATATGGAGCTATGGCACAACTAGCAACAAAGAAAACACTTCAATCATGCTTAGACAGATGGCATCATCATAATTCAGCACAAGTTCAAAGCTCAAGTAAACTTGTGAACCTGGAAAAAACATTTCCAGAAAACAGACATGAACAAGGAAACAGCATGCCAGAAATAACGACAGATTAATAATAACGACCGGGAAGAAACTAAAGTGGACATACTTTGGTGTAGTTTTTCTTCTCCACTCCATATCCTTTGACATAAAGATACCCCATGCCGTTATAGGCTGAATAAAGTTGCTGTCTTGAAGCAAGTGTAAGCCATTTGAGAGCTTTGGTATAGTTCCGCTCAACTCCAGCTCCCCTGGCATAAATCTCCCCAAGAAGCTCCATTGATCTGGGTTCCCCTTTCTCCACAGCCTTAGAGAACCACGACAAGGCCTTAACATAATCACGCCTCAAGCCTCTCAAACCAAAGTAGTAGAACAGACCAATTTTGTACATAGCAGCAGCATTGCCCTTTTGAGCCTGATACTCCAAAATCTGAAAGTCCTCATCCTCTTCGCCTTTAAACTTCCTAAGAGCATCCTTGTTCTCTTCTGCTCCATTGTGAATCCTAACAGGTTCGATGACAGGTGAATCTTTGGAGATCAGGAAACTGTTGACCGCCACTTCGGCTAGTTCAGCATACAATTTAACCGCTTTATCATACATCTACAGCAACCAATTGGAAGGAAAACGCAGAAGAATCAGATACAAAGAAAACCCCCCCATGATCGACGTAATGCAAGAAAGAAACAATTCAGAACTCACTCACATCCTGACGGGAGTAGGTATAAGCTAGCGCCATCTTCGACTGCAGACTCCCTCCCTGGGCAGCAAAGTGGTGATAGAGAAACGCCTTGGCTTTGCTCATTTCCCGCATCTGGCCCATCCCGAAGAGAAACCCCAGCAACGACTGAGCGTGGGGATTGCCTTTCTCCGTGGCTGCCGCCTCGATTTCAGCGGCGGCTTCCTCCATCAACCTGATCTCTCCATTGGTCACAGCGGAGAGCATCTTCTCAACTACCTCGTAGTAGCCTGCCATCTCGCCATTGGCGGCGGCGGAGGAGGAAGAGTCGGGCTCGAAAATTGGACGCCATGAGCCAGGGTCGAGCTGGTGGTCGGGCTTGGAATCGGAGTCGCCGAACTCGTCCCATTCGGACTGGGACTCGGAGGAGGAGAGATCGTCGGAATCGGCAGGAGTTGTGGAGACGTCCTTGAGGTCGTCCTGAGAGAGGACGAGGACGAATGGCCGGGCGACGAGGGAGAGAGGGTAAACCGATAAGAGAAGAAACAATCCGATCCTGATCTTCAGCGGCGGTCTCATCTTTCTTCCCTCTAATTCTTCTTCTTCGGAGCTCTTTCCTTCTGGTGTGAAGAAGGCGGATTGCCGGAGGAGGTTGGATGGGGGAATTGTTGTCGGCTGCCGGCAGGGTAATTCTGGAATTTAACTTAATCGTTCTATATGCTGATTGACACGTCATGGCTGCAGTTCAGTCTATGGCGATCAGACAGCAGGGACAATTAGGGTGTTCAAACGGATTGGTCATCGTGGTAACCATATTAACCGGTAGCATTTAATTAATTTGGTTTGGTTAATTTAGATAATTGGTTTGGTTCGGTTAAACAATTTAGCTTATTTGGTTTAGGTGGTTTGGTTTGGTTTCAACACTGCTAACTAGGAGCGGAGGTAGCATGTAAATAGGGTGTTCTATGGCACGCCATTGGCCTAAGTTCAGGTCCTTAAACCCCATTTTTTAAGAAGAATCTTAAAGCAATTCTATTGGCTGCTGGAATTTTAGGTAGTTATGAGGAAGTTATTGGTTAAGTAGTTAATAAGGGTTTTTTAGGAATTATATTTAATAATAAAATTATAATAGTTAACCTATTATTAGTCCACGTATTATTCGTAAACCTCATTCCGCAATCCCAGCCAAAGCGTCAGTCTCCTCAAAGTTCACCTATGTCTCCTCGTTTCCCTCGTCGTTTGTCCGGCTTCCAACGTCCCTCACGTCCATCGTCAATCCCTTCCTTCGTTCATCCTTTGTCTCTCGTCGTTAATCTTTCGTCGTCGTTTCTATCGCAATTCTCCGTCAATAGCAAGCTTGTCGTCAGCTTTCTCCCGTCCCGTCGATTTCTGACTTGCCGTCGAGTTCTCGTCGAGGTCACTGAAAGCTCCGGCTTCCAGCCCAACAACATTCGTCTATCCTATTCGAGTTCCGTCAATACAAAGCTTTTTGTTTCTGTCAACAGCGGCATAGATCAAGCTTCCGACATCGCTCACATCCGTCGTCGTTCCTTTCCGCCGTCGATCACGTCATCAGCTTCAGAGATGGAATCCCATCGACCTCTCCTCCTACCCCATCCCTTTCCGCCGTCGATCACGTCGTCAGCTTCCGGCGTTGCCCACATCCGTTGTCGGTACCTTCTTTTTCTCGCTTGTTATTGTTTATAATGTTTAGGTTTATCGTTTGTTTCATAGTTTTAGGGTTTTCGTTGTTTGCTAATTGTTTTGTTGTTATTAAGGTTATTGGACATGTTTTTAATTACATTGTATAGCATTATTAACTTTTTATGGTCATTTTTTACGTGCTCGTTTTCAATTTTTTTGCTCTCTATTATTAATGAATACGTGCTCGTTTTCAATTTTTTGCTCTCTACTATTAATCTATCTGTCATGCAAGTCAATTATTAATGCTTTCGGTGCTTACAGTAATAATGCATTGCATTATTAATGATTTATGGGCAATCATTAACAGAGCACAATATAGTTAGAAATATTAACACACAATATTAATAACAAGATTATTAATCTTTTCATCTCCATTATTAACATATTTACCTACAGTATTAATGATTGTATGGCCAATTACTAATACACAAAAGTCATTTCTTATGTGATAGTCATTTCTCATAATAGATTGGATTTTGTATTAATGATTATTAACTTTTTTGTTACCATTATTAACCTTTTATATTTAAGTCATCAACGTTTCTGCTACCATTATGGAAGTTTAATTATTAATACTTCAGTTACCAATTCGAAATTTTTAACTGTCATGTTATTAAAGTTTTTGTTATCATTATTAACATTTTCCTCGCTCATTCAAATTGCAATGAGTTTCCTTTAATAATGTTTGTTTGACTGAATCACAGGTGCACTATGTCACAAGTGTCGAAGATCTTGAAGATCTATATTGTGATTCATGATCACTGAGAACGATATACAAAGCAATATCAATTGATTGCAAAATGTTAACAATGTCATTAGAAGTCATTGGAAGATGTCATGACTAGATAGTTATAAACATGAGATGAAAATGTGAATCATTGGTAAAAAACTAAAAATATTGTAAATCAATAATATTGCACTACTCAAACTTTTAGTGGTAATGTTATACGACTTTAATGATTCATTCACAAGCATTGATGACAAAAATGTAAAACAGTAATAATTGATCCAAAATTGTTAATAATGTAATTGTAAATAATTGATAAGTATATTGAAAATATTAATAATGATTAGGTATATTAATAATTATTTATTTCATAAATGTTGATAATGGCATTGCAAAACGTTAATACTACATTGCAAGTTGTCTCAAAATGAGAGAGCATGTATTTTTAATTTCATAAAAGTTAATAATATCATTGTAAAACGTTAATACTACATTGCAAGTTGTCTCAAAGTGAGAGAGAGCGGGTATTTTTAATTTTCATTTTAAGAAAGAAAAAACATTAAGTCCGAATTTATTAAATATTAAATAATAATATTTAATTTAATTAATTCTGAATTTCCTTTTAATGATAGTGACGAGAGAGGGTAATAAGAAGGTTACGGAGGAGAGAGAAATAAATCATTAATTATTATTATTAATTATATTTGCATAATACCTCATTTACCCTCAACTAACAATTAACTACTAACCACTATTAACTACCTAATCTACTATTAGCCAATGAGAATGACTTAAGAAGATGCTTAAACTTATAGGCTTAAGCACCGGATCCAACCCGCACACCATTGGATTGGGACTAGAACATAAGAAAAAAGAGGGGTATTAATTTATGCTATAACTAGAATTTGAACATGGAACCCCTTTATTATTAGCTTTGGCATCTTACATTAAACTACAATTACTTATGTGATACCTCAAGGACGTCTCCACAACTCCTGCCGATTCCGACGATCTCTCCTCCTCCGAGTCCCAGTCCGAATGGGACGAGTTCGGCGACTCCGATTCCAAGCCCGACCACCAGCTCGACCCTGGCTCATGGCGTCCAATTTTCGAGCCCGACTCTTCCTCCTCCGCCGCCGCCAATGGCGAGATGGCAGGCTACTACGAGGTAGTTGAGAAGATGCTCTCCGCTGTGACCAATGGAGAGATCAGGTTGATGGAGGAAGCCGCCGCTGAAATCGAGGCGGCAGCCACGGAGAAAGGCAATCCCCACGCTCAGTCGTTGCTGGGGTTTCTCTTCGGGATGGGCCAGATGCGGGAAATGAGCAAAGCCAAGGCGTTTCTCTATCACCACTTTGCTGCCCAGGGAGGGAGTCTGCAGTCGAAGATGGCGCTAGCTTATACCTACTCCCGTCAGGATGTGAGTGAGTTCTGAATTGTTTCTTTCTTGCATTACGATCGATCATGGGGGGGTTTTCTTTGTATCTGATTCTTCTGCGTTTTCCTTCCAATTGGTTGCTGTAGATGTATGATAAAGCGGTTAAATTGTATGCTGAACTAGCCGAAGTGGCGGTCAACAGTTTCCTGATCTCCAAAGATTCACCTGTCATCGAACCTGTTAGGATTCACAATGGAGCAGAAGAGAACAAGGATGCTCTTAGGAAGTTTAAAGGCGAAGAGGATGAGGACTTTCAGATTTTGGAGTATCAGGCTCAAAAGGGCAATGCTGCTGCTATGTACAAAATTGGTCTGTTCTACTACTTTGGTTTGAGAGGCTTGAGGCGTGATTATGTTAAGGCCTTGTCGTGGTTCTCTAAGGCTGTGGAGAAAGGGGAACCCAGATCAATGGAGCTTCTTGGGGAGATTTATGCCAGGGGAGCTGGAGTTGAGCGGAACTATACCAAAGCTCTCAAATGGCTTACACTTGCTTCAAGACAGCAACTTTATTCAGCCTATAACGGCATGGGGTATCTTTATGTCAAAGGATATGGAGTGGAGAAGAAAAACTACACCAAAGTATGTCCACTTTAGTTTCTTCCCGGTCGTTATTATTAATCTGTCGTTATTTCTGGCATGCTGTTTCCTTGTTCATGTCTGTTTTCTGGAAATGTTTTTTCCAGGTTCACAAGTTTACTTGAGCTTTGAACTTGTGCTGAATTATGATGATGCCATCTGTCTAAGCATGATTGAAGTGTTTTCTTTGTTGCTAGTTGTGCCATAGCTCCATATCAGGGGTGTACTCAAGTGTCTATGTTTTGAAGTTCATAATTTGCAACATATGTTCATCTGTTGTTGCATTTGTAGACATTCTAGACTGCCTTTGTTTCTATGCTTCTGTTGCAAATACTTCTGGAGGGATTTGTCAATAACCAGAATGATTTTATGACAGGCGAAGGAATACTTTGAGAAAGCTGCCGAGAATGAGGAGCCTGGGGGCCATTATAACCTTGGAGTCATGTTTCTTAAAGGAATTGGTGTAAAGAGAGACATAAGGCTGGCTTGTCAGTATTTCATAGTTGCAGCTAATGCTGGTCAACCCAAGGCATTTTATCAGCTGGCCAAGATGTTCCAGACAGGTGTTGGACTTAAAAAGAATCTGCCAATGGTAAGTTTTTTATGACTTCAGTATTTCCTTCTTCTTTTTCTTTTCTGGCTTTGTTCACGGTTGCTATTCCCTTAGAACTAATTAGGGGAATTTATAACTGTGAAGTGAACTATTCGGTTGTAACCGGCATTGATTAGATCCACTATCTAGGTAAAATGTCGTCTAGGAGTCACTTTGTAATTTGCAAATCAATACTACTATCTTTGCTGCCTTCCCTCCTTTCATTAGATAAGCTTCGTGACTCCATTCTTTTTTATAATAACCAAGGAAAAACTGGCCAATCAGTTTATCAGTATCCTCATTCCGCATGTATAATATAATGAGCTCATTCTTAAAAAAACATAGAGTGTCTTGTTGCACGCTTCAAGAATTGCAAGAGCAGTATCTCCTTACAAATCTGTCTTTGTACCAGGCTACTGCACTGTATAAACTGGTTGCAGAAAGAGGACCATGGAGTTCTTTGTCTAGATGGGCATTAGAATCTTATCTCAAGGGTGATGTCGGCAAGGCATTTCTGTTGTATTCCAGAATGGCGGAGATGGGCTATGAGATTGCTCAAAGTAATGCTGCATGGATCCTTGACAAATATGGAGAGAGGAGCATGTGTGTAGGGGAATCTGGATTCTGTGGTGATGCAGAGAGGCATCAACG